GCCACTGGAACCAGGTCCACAGTTTTCAAATGCTTTTAGCCAGCAGCCCTTGCCACAGACCCCATCCTGCGAGGAAGGCCCAGCCCCACTGGTCAGCAGCCCCCGGTCACATCTCTGACCCACAACACAGACCCCTGTGACCCTCAGTCACAGCAGGGGGGCAAGAGACCCTCCAGGACCCTAGGAGTCCAGAGAGGGTGGCGGCAAGGCCCCAAGGCAGGGCCACGCCTGGTGGCTCTTGGAATGGACGAGCATGAAGCCTCATGGGCAAGAGTAGCCGCTGCACAAATGCTCGTCCTGTAGCAGGTGAAAGCTGGGATGCGACCACTGCCCTGCCAGCCTCCCCAGCCATCGCCGCAGCCCTGGGACCCACAGAGCCCAGGCCATGGAGCTGTGAAGCTGCCTGTGAGCCCAGGGCCCTGGTCGGGGGAAGCATCTCTCCTTGTCGGCCCTCCTGCCGCAGCCAAAGCCCTGAGGTTAGATCAGAAAGTGATTGTGAGGCTGTAGCTGGAGCATCAGAGGTCCGTCGCATGTGGCCGGCGCCATGTGAGTGAGCCGGGCGTGCCGGCTGGAGCGGGGCCCTCTGTGCTTCTCCCGTCATGTGCTGAGTCATCAGCTACTTCTCAAAGCAGTTTTCAAAGGCAGCGCCGCACTGTGTCACCTTAAATGTGTTTTGATGCAGCTTCCAGAAGATTAAAGGGTCATCGCATAGGACATATTCTTACATGCTTCGTCCGCCTCAGTCAAAACACGTGGTTGTTAAGTCAGGTCAGGAGCCGCCGTCAGGGGCAAAGCCACAGTCAGAACATGCTGCCACTGCCCCCAAGCCTGGCGAGCAGACAGGGCGTCTCTCTGTCCCCAGATTCCAGCCCCTGGCCTGCATCCACCAGCACTGCTGGACTGGGCAGAGGCAGGGGCTGAGCATGTGAGGGCCCCAGGGACAGGGATGCCCCTAAGGAGCTCTGGGGGCTCAGCAGAGCACCTCCCTCCACGCTGAGGCCAGAGGTGATGGGGTCCTCCAAGGAGGCCTCCTGCCAGGCCGGGAGGGAGCTTCCATCAAAGCTCATCTGGACCAGCCCCTCCTGCCTTTCCCAAATACACTTCCAAAAGCAGCAGTTCTTCGTTAGGTTCAGGCATCTGGGCTCAGGACTTCCAGCCTCCCGGGGCTCTGCCGGCTGCGGTCAGCAAAACACAGGAAGGCAAGGAAAGGTTTTGCCCCAAGTAGTCCCAGATGAGGGCAAGATATGGTGGGCGGGTCCCAGCCCCGGGGCCGGTGCAAAGCCCAGCACCCTCAGAATCCCTCCCTGGCTCCCCAGGGGGAGTGGGTCCCCCATGCGGGCTGTGACCTCAGTGGCTCTGAGTTCAGCCGTGCATCAGTGGAGGGCGTGTTGCGAGGCTCCAGGTGAATGCCATGCCCCGCTGTGTGCCCGTGTGCAGCTGCGGCCGTGGGCATGGCCATGCGTTCTTCAGTGGCTGCCCAGGGCTTGTGGCAGGGTGTCAGTCAGGAGTCATGGCTGGGGTATGGGTCAGTCCCTGTGCAGCTGTGGGGCGGGTGGCCAGCCCTGTGTCCGGCTAAGGGGCTGCGCATATGTCCCTGTGTATGTACGTGTGGTTGCTGTGTGCGTGCCCCGTGTGGAGTGGCGGGTTGGTCACGGAGTACCAGGACTGCTGAGAGCTGACCTGTGTCCGTTCCGCAGGGATACCCCCAGCCAGCGGCACCGGGACCCTCCAGATCTATCTCATCGACATCAATGACAACGCACCTGAGCTGCTGCCCAAGGAGGCGCAGATCTGCGAGAAGCCCAACCTCAACGCCATCAACATCACGGCAGCCGACGCTGACGTCGACCCCAACATCGGCCCCTATGTCTTCGAGCTGCCCTTCGTCCCGGCGGCTGTGCGGAAGAACTGGACCATCACCCGCCTAAATGGTGAGCCTGTCCTGGGCCATGGGGAGGGTCAGACTAGTCTGGGGTGCAGGCCCCTGGGGGACCCAGCTGGCCTTGGAAGAGTGAGCACCAGAGGGGGACGACAGCCCTCCAGGGGGACTGTCCCGCCAAGGCTGGGGACACCAGCCTCGCTTCGGCTGCTCAGCCTTCTTCACTTGGCCCCGAGGAGGCCCCCAAGTCAAAATCAAGTTCTTGCTGCTTTACGGAGCCCAGCCGTGAACGTGCTTGCGGCCCCGCCCATGTGTACCCATGACAGCTTCCTATGCCGGTGATCAGCTGGCTGCACTGTGACCGATATGTTTCCTTAGAATACTTGCTTGGATGTCGATTTTTGTTATAAAAGGATATCGAAATTCTGAAGTTTTGGCAGCACAGTGACAAGGTGCTCTAGACATGTCCCCTTCCATTGGGAGAGGACCTGTTTCCACAAACCCCACCAACACTGAATATAATTGTTTTAAAATAGTGTTTTATTCTGCCAATTTTACGGCCAAAGGCATTGTTTCCATTTGTATATCTTGACTACCAGTGGAAATTTTTTTATCTATTTATTGACCATTTTTGTTTCTTCTGTGACTTGTCTGTTCAATGACTTTGCCTATGTTTTCTTTGGAGAGTTTCTTTTTATTCATTTGGTAAAACTATATATTCAGGAAATTATTTATTCATCCTACATGTTGCAATTGCTTTTTGGTTGTGTCTCCAATGTCTTTTTTTTTTTTTTTTTTTAGATGGAGTCTTGCTCTGTTGCCCAGGCTAGAGGGCAGTGGCACAATCTCAGCTCTGCAACCTCTGCCTCCCAGGTTCAAGCAATTCTCCCACCTCAGCCTTCCAAGTAGCTGGGATCACAGGCTCTCACCACACACCTAGCTAATTTTTGTATGTTTTAGTAGAGAGAGCGTTTCACAATGTTGACCAGTCTGGTCGTCAACTCCTGACCTCAAGTGATCTGCGCACCTCAGCCTCCCAAAGTACTGGGATTACAGGCATGGGCCACTGCGCCCGACTTCCAATGTCTTTTGACTTAATGGTGTAGCATAGTGTGTGCGTGCATGCCGTAACCAGGCAGACATGTCCGGTTTCCAAGCCATTGGACTTAGTCTTTTCCTTTGGACGTCTTGCTTGGAAGGGAGGGCCAGGCTCGGGCTGAACGTTTACTCTTGCTTTGCGCCAGGTGACTATGCCCAACTCAGCTTGCGCATCCTGTACCTGGAGGCCGGGGTGTATGACGTCCCCATCATCGTCACGGACTCTGGAAACCCTCCCCTGTCCAACATGTCTATCATCAAAGTCAAGGTGTGCCCATGTGACGACAACGGGGACTGCACTACCATTGGCGCGGTGGCAGCGGCTGGTCTGGGCACTGGTGCCATCGTGGCCATCCTCATCTGCATCCTCATCCTGCTGAGTGAGTGTGGCTGAGCACCAAGGCGGGTGGGCACTACGGGTATGAGCGCCTGTCCCAGGGATGGTGGGCAAAGGGGGGCCCGCGTTCGCCCCTCAGCCTGCATCGCGCAGTCCCATCGGCCAGGGGCTTTTCAGAAATGCAGCTGAGCTGGCCCATATGACGTAGGAAATTGGAGCCCCCTGTTGCTTTCAAATCCGGAGGTCCAGGCATCTCCCATGGCCTGGCCCCTTTCCACGGCTCCACTCTGCCTCCCAGAGCCGTGTCCTGAAGCTGCTCTCCTCCAGGGCCTGCAGTGCCTGCAGGCAGCTCCCAGGTGGACCTAGCAGGGGGAAGGTCAGCCTGCCTATTAGCATCCCCGTCCAAAGTCCTGGGACAGTCTGATTGGACTGGCTTGGGATGCATACCTTGGAGCCAATCACCGGCCAAGGAATGGGGTGTTCTCATTAGCTCTGCCCAGATCACATGCTCGAGTAGTTTTTGGAGTTTCCCAGAACCATGTGGGTTCCCCAATAGGAGTGAGGGTTGTGGGGGGCACCACGGAAGGTGCTTGAAAGTGACCCCAGAGGTCCTTCTTCCCATCATCCCTCATGGACAGTTGCCCTGGTCTGTGATAGCCCGGGGACCCCAGTGGGAGGCAGGGCGGGGAAGGGTTCAGCCACCACCTCCCCAGTTCACATCCAAACCAGCGGGTCCCCCACCACGTCCAGAACAAGCTGGAGCAGGCAGCAGGCCCTCCTGCAGACCTGGCCTCTGGCTGACTTCAGACCCCAGGGACCGTCAGCCCCATCCAAAGGACATCTCAGTTATGAGGCCTCTGTTTTTTTTCTCATTTCCGGACCCATCCCCCCTCAAAAAGCTGTTTTTTATTTCTGAGGCTTGTTTTGAAAGCCATTCAGCGTAATGGGGTCCTTTGTATGATCTGGAGTAGAAAGGGCCCCACAGAGGTTGGGATGCGTCTCCATAACAAAGATGGGGCATTCTTACCCATGTCTCCTGCTCTGAAGACACAGGGGCCGGGCCCTGGCCAGAGCACCCCCTGTGGGCCAGGCTGTGAGACGTGACTCAGCTGGGTGCCTGTCGCGGGCAGGAGACCCGGGCCACTCTCAAGGGCAGCCACAGTGAGGCCGGGGCCGGGGTCAACAGCGCATCCACCTGCTGCCTGGTTCTGCCCAGTCGTGGGCACCTCAGCCCTGGTCGGGTACATGGCGGGCATCTGGGTGGCCTCTGCTCCTCCACACTCGTCCTCCTGGACAAGCCTGGGGTACCGGCTGTGAGTGTGCTTCTTGGCATTGCCGCTTCTGTCAAGCCAAGACCAGGCCCGGGCTCCAGGTTCCCGGTTCTCACCGAGCTGCACCTGCAGTGGGTGGCCCCTCCCTCTGCCTGCACTTCCCTCTTTGCCATCTGGGCCAGGCCAGGAAGCGTCCCCCGGCTGTCACCTCACCTTCTGCAGGCAGCAGGGGTGCTGCCAATACCCACAGAGCTCCTCCCAAGCCTAGACTCAGCTTTGGAAGCCTTCTCACTGCACGCAGGCAGCCACAGCAAGTTAATCAGGTTGGCAAGGGACAGCCCTTCTGACTGGGGGTGGCCGTCGCCTCCTGCCTCTGGGTTGACCCTCTGCGGTACACAGGAGCACACCTGTGACTTCTGGGCCTCCGTTGTCACACGTGACGTGGGAGGTGCCGAGAGGCTTTGGGAGGATGCGTCGGGTGCTTTCTGCAGGCATTTACCGGAGGCGCGGGCCACATTGCCTGCTCCTGGAGCCCGTGCTGGGTGCAGCGCCCACCCTGCGAAACCGAGAAGTGAATGCACAGAGAATGGACAAAGCGGGAGGCTTGCAGATGGGCGCCCAGGCTGTCCCTGCAGCAGGGGCAGCCAGGGGTCCAGAGTGAGCAAGGTCGTTTAGGGGAGCCAGGCCAGGACACGGACCTTGGAGGGGGGCAGGGAGGCGGTTCAGCTTCAGGGACAGGGTCCCTCCATCCACCCCGCAAAGGGGCTTTACCTCTCTTCGGTTTCCACCTGCACCTGAACTTCTGAACCTGCACCCCAGTTCCTTTGGGTGATGGAAAGAGCCCCTCTGAGTGACCCCCCCGGGTACTGGGTGTGGCTGCCCTTCTGTCCAGCAAAGCCCTGGACTGACTGCGCCCCACGGGCCCTCAGGAAGCAGGATCCCTGGATCCCCGCTCTGGGCCCCGCTCCTTACCTGACCCCTCCCAGGGCAGACAGAGCTTCTTTCAGTATGGGAGAATCCATCTCCCCCACTCAGTGATTCCTGCCAAGCACTGTGTGCCTAAAACCTCACTTCCACCTCCATCAAAACCATCTCCCCTCCTGCCGCTCAGAAGAGGGACACAGAAAGACTTGTGGGTAGGTCCCTCAGCTCCCCACGTCCTCCTGCCCCCAGGCGGTGGGGGGCACCCTGAGCTGGCGGCCTCCTCAAAAAGGAGTGCAGGAGGAGGAGGAGTATGTAAATCAGTGTCTCAAAATCTAGCCCAGTGCCCAGGCAGTGAGCTGGGGAGGGACCTGAGCTAGCAGGGCTCTGAATGGACACTCAGAGGCACACCCAGGCATGCACGCACGCATAGGCACGTGAGCAGACGTGCATTCGCACACAGCCACACCTGTATGCATGAGCACACACAGACACACATGAAGAGACACACACAGAGACATGCACACACAGACATGTGCAGACTTCTGTGTGCATGTACACACACGAACACATGAGCGCACATATACACAGATCTACACGCTGACCCACAGGCACACACTCCTGTGGATACATGTATACATGCCTACACAGACATGTACGGAACATCTGCATCCACGAATGCACATGGGCTGCACATATGCACAGATGTGTGTGCTTGCACACCCAGGCCTGCACGTGCATAGACACGTGTGCATGTGCAATACAGGTGGGCATGCACACCTGGACACACGGAGTCATGCTTCTGTGCTACCTACATGTACATGCCCACACAGACACAGCGGCATGCGTGGGCACACACGCGGCACACCCACACCCCCTGCTCACACCCGCCCTCCCCCGCAGCCATGGTCCTGCTGTTTGTCGTGTGGATGAAGCGGCGGGAGAAGGAGCGCCACACCAAGCAGCTGCTCATCGACCCCGAGGACGACGTGCGTGACAACATCCTCAAGTATGATGAGGAAGGCGGCGGTGAGGAGGACCAGGTGAGGCCACGCCCGCGCCCCGCCCCACAGGAGGCCAGCTCTCACGGGCACCAGTGTCTCAGCAGGGCCTGCTCTTGGGTTTTAAGAGTAAGACATGGCCGGGCGCAGGGGCTCACCCCTGTAATCCCAGCACTTTGGGAGGCCAAGAAAGGCGGATCACAAGGTCAGGAGCACAAGACTAGCCTGACCCACATGGTGAAACCCCATCTCTACTAAAAGCACAAAATTTAGCCAGAGGGGTGGCGTACACCTATAATCCCAGCTACTCAGGAGGCTGAGGCAGGAGAATCGCTTGAACCTGGGAGGCAGATGTTGCAGTGAGCCAAGGTCGCACCATTGCACTCCAGCCTGGGTGACAGAGCAAGACTCCATCTCAAAAAACAAACAAACAAAAATGGTAGGACATTTCAGCCTTTTCCACGATGAAGGCACCAGGCAGGGGAGCCCGGTTTCCCAGTCCAGTTCCGCTGCCCACGTTTGCAGGTCTGGCCTGGGCTGAACTGCACACACTGCACCTGCATCCCCCGGAGGGATCATGGGACCCTCCATTCCTCACCTCCCTCCCTCCCACCGCTGACCCCAGCCCAGTGCTGCCCTGTGCCCCGGAGGGGAGGGGGCTCTGGGTTGGCCAAGGACACCAATGCCCACTCTCCTGATGCTGCCGTGCACGGGGGGCTGTGAGTGACCAGGGGCAGTGCACCGGGCACCCGAGATGGTACAATACAAGAGCTGCTGGTTGGAATCTGGGTCTGCCCCAGCCTTTGGGGGAATTGGGGCAAATCCTTAGCCCCTCTAAAGCTCAGACCCCACCCTGCCCCTCTGACAATACAGCCATAACAAGCGTGAGGAATGTGCCTTGCGGAGGCCCAGCTCCTGGCCACCTGAGCACTCGGGGTGCGTGGCTGGTGAGCAGCGTGGCGGTGGGGTCACTGGGAGTGAGCCCCAGGCCATCGAAGGAAGCCAGGCACAGACCCCATCCCTGCCAGAGGGATTGGGGTGAAGGGTGAGGAAGTGGAGCACTGTGGGAGGGCACAGCAGGGGACAGCTTGGGACTGTGGGGTGCTTGGAGACCAGGGCGCAGGGCAGCAGGCCCATCTATGGCCCCAGTCACAGAACAGGCTGTGGGCTGGAAGCGGGGTGCAGGCTGGAAGGGGGGCTTGGCGGATTCTTCTGGTGCCCTGACTCCCCTGGCTCCCTTCCCCAGGACTACGACCTTAGCCAGCTACAGCAGCCAGAAGCCATGGGGCACGTGCCAAGCAAAGCCCCCGGCGTGCGTCGCGTGGATGAGCGGCCGGTGGGCGCTGAGCCCCAGTACCCAGTCAGGCCCGTGGTGCCGCACCCAGGCGACATCGGTGAATTCATCAACGAGGTGTGTGCCCTCGGCAGTGGGGGGTCCTGGGTAAGGTGTCTCCTCCAAAAACAAATGCTAGTAGCACACACAGACAGAAGCTGTCGCCACTGTGCCGGCAGCCACCATGGGGACAAGGCAGCTGAGACCTGGGTTCCAGGCCTGCCCCGCCACTCCAGCTGGGGGGCCTGGGCAAATCACCTCCCCCAGCAGCCCCTCTTTCTAAGGATGAAGATTCCCACCTGTGAGCCAGATGAAGGATCAACACGCAGGGCTGGGTGCTCGGCAGGGACTTCATAAGAATTCGGGTTTGCAGCAGAAGCGCCAGCAGCAAGGACAGGCCTCAGGGGCAGCGGTGGGACAGCAGCAGAGCCCCCCGGGCACTGACCTTACACACAGCCCACCATGCCGGGCTTGGCCCACACAGATGCTCAGACAGGCAGAGGCCCAAGCCTGGTCTCAGGGCCCCGGCCAACTTGCCCTCCCTCCCCACTCTTCCCCCACAACCCTCCCCTCAACCCCTTTCCCCACCCCCCCCGTACCATCAGGACACAGCAGGTGGGAACACACACAGGGGCTGCCTCCTGACCACCTGCGTGACCACGTGCCCAACCTGACATTTGAGGGTTAGAAGGGACTGGGCCAACGAACAGCAGGCCGCAGGATTCGATCTTCTCCTTTGAAAGACACATTTGAGACATTGAGTTTCCACTTCAAAATGTGCACCTCCCTGCCTTCACCCCCATCTTCCTTTGTGGTGAATCGAACAGAGGAGCAACAGGGCAGATTCCCCCAGGGAAGCGTCCTCCGGCCGTGACTCTGAGGCTCCAGGCTGGCGTTGCCTGCCGCCCTGCAGGGATCACCGTGTCCTCCATCCCTGCTCCAGCCACATGAGCCCCTGTGGGTTCACCACCTGCTCTCCAATACTGGCTGCATTATAAAGAAGGTTTAGCAACACTTAGATCTCAGCCTTGGTCAGAATCTCACTTTAAAGGAGTTGATTTAAACAGAAGCTAACCCAGGCAATGATTCAGCAGAGAGACAAAAAGGTTTCCCCAAAGCAGATTGTGTCCCTGGCCACAGAAGAAATTCCTACAACTGCCCACGAGGGAGACGCTCTGACGACGCTTACTGTCTATGACGGAATACAAATGTAAAGACCCCAATACAAATGTAAAGCATGCCCGGCCCAATCTTCCCCCACACCTCCCTCACCCTCCCCCAAACCCCCACCTTCCCCC